ACCGCGGATGCGTGCGCGTGCGCGAGTGTGTGTGTGAGTGTGAGTATGAGCGTGCAAGCGTTGGTGGTACGCATGATGAAACGAAGCAAACGACTCCAGCGGGAGAACCACATCCCAGCACATACACACACATATACACATTCACACACATGCACACACACTCGTACACCCGCTAATTCTTTTGCCCCCCCCCACACACACACACACGTACCAGCGCGGACTTGCCGACGCCACCAGAGCCAAGGACGACAATCTTGTACTCCCTCATTGTGTTTGTGTGGTGTGTTGTGTGGTGTGACGGATGTCAAGCGACAAAAGCTGCTTCGGCAACAGCCAGCCAGCAGCAGCAGCAGCAGCGCGGGCGCCAGCGGAAGCAGGGGACGAAGCGAAGCCGCAGCAGGAGAAACGCAGCGACGACAGCAGGGATGACAGGGACGACGTAACACGAGCAGAGATGGAAAACGTGTGAGTGGAAGGGGGTGTTCAGGGGCTGTTTTGGTAATGTGGCTCGCACACGATGCGCTTGGTGCGGTCTTGCGGTGGTCACAAACAGAGAATGATGATGGTGATGGTGGATGGCGGTGGCACGAAACACGCGACAACAAATAACAAGGGGGCGGTGGCGATTGTTTGGTTGGATGTGTTGTTGTTGTTGTCGTGCAATGCGCGCAGAAGAAAATGGTGGGAAGACCCATAAACTCTGCTGGAGGTGTGATGTCCACCGCATGCGCACAACATGCGGGGTGCTAAGCAGGCAGACATCTCACCTTCAGCTACAGCGAGCGATGTGAACGTGGGCGGCCAAGGCAACGCGTTTGCTTCTTTCTGCTTGACTCTCTGTGTGTTCGTGCGTGGATATTGGGTTGTGTGTCTGTTTTGAGGGGTGCCAACACAAATCGCCAAATACGCACACCACCGCAGCACGACAATTTTTATTTTATTTTTCGCCCTCTTGTTGTGTGGTGGGCGTGGACGGCTGCAAAGCAAGAGAGCTAATTTCGGTGGTTCGATTTTTACCGGGTATCATTCACAGAACAGCCGAAACTGCAGAGTCAGCATTTCGTAAGCAACATCACAAACCGCAGTGTCACTCCGTGCGCGCTCGTTTGCTTGGCTGCTCTCCGCCAGCGTCCTCCTCCTCCTCCTGCTGCTGGTGTGATGTTGTCACTGACGCTGGTGTGGTTGATAATGTTGCTGCTGGTGTTGCTGCTGGTGTTGATGCTGTTGTTGATGCTGTTGTTGCTGATGTTGTTGTTGCTGCTGGTGCCAGCTCCTGCTGAGGGGTGACGGTTGGCACGGGCCCGGCTGTCGCTGCGGCTTGCTGCTGTGCGGAGGAACGTGGGGTGGCGGTTGCTGCTGCTGCTGGCGTTGTTGTTGTGGTTGCAGGATCTGTCTCGCTGCTTGGCGATAGCCCTTTGCGCTTCAGCAGCGTGTCCCGCGCATCCCTAATGAATGCAAGTGCGTCATGTGTGCATATGTTTGTGTGTATGTGCGTGCGTGAGTGTGTGTGTGCGTGAGTGTGTGAGTGTGAGTGTGTGTGTGCTTATGTGCGTGCATATGTGTATGCGTGCGTGCATTGTGTGTGCATATGTGTGTGTCAGTGTGTGTGTGAGCGTGTGTGCGTGCGTTGCGGGAACGGGGAACATGGTCGTGAGGTGAATCCAAAGACAACAGTGCAACTACAAGTTGACACGCGTGCACAATCTATCCGACTCACCTGAGACGCCAGACTTGGTATTCCAGGCCCTGTGCCTTGTTCTGCTCCTCGTGGAAGTTGAGGGCAAGCGACTTGAGCGCCAGCAGCTCCGGCATCAACCGCGACGTCGGCAGTGGATCACCTAGTTTGCGTGCATGCATGCGTGTGAGTGTGTGTGTGTGTGTGTGTGCATATGTGTGCGTGTGTGTGCGTGTGTGTGTGTAAGTGGAGAAACAAGCAAGTGCATTGAGCAAGACCGACAATACCAACACACACACACACATATGCACACAGACGCAACGACGCACCGAGGTTGTACTTGTCGAGGAACGACTTGATGAAATCGCGCGCCTTCTGCGTGTTTGCAGCAGAGACCTTGCGCATACTGGCGCTGACAAGGCTGACCGTTGGCCGGCCCACACTCGATGGCCGCCGCCCCGCATCCTTCAGCGACGACGTCGACCCCTGTCGCGAGGCTGCGGGTGTGCGCGGCGTGGCGCCACCACCCCGGCTCCCTGCAGACCCGCGCCTGCCGCCCTTGGCAGCCGTTGACGGCGCTGCTTTGCCTGCGACGGGGGTTGATGCTGCCGCACCTGCGCCTGCTGCCGTGGCCGTTTTGGAGCCCCGGCGGCCCTTGGTGGTCGCTGTCTTGGGCGGTGTCGTCTTCGCAGCAGCACCCTTGCTCGCCTGCTTCGCTGCCGCTGCTGCCGCTGCTGCCGCTGCTGTTGTTGCGGCAGGGGAGGGCTTGGTTGCCGTGGCGGTGGCGGTGCCAGCTGCGCCTGCCTTGGTGTCCTTCTTGCCCTACACGCGAGTGAATGTGTTGGATGAATTAATCAGTGAGAAAGAGGGAGAAAGAGGGAGAAAGAGGGAGAAAGACGAGGTGAGAGTCAGAGTGAGGAAATGATAACAACAACAACAACAAGAACCTTGGGAGCAAGGCAAGGAAAGCGGTAATGCACATCAACAGCAACGGCAACAGCAACAGCAACAGCAACGGCGCAAAAAATAGCCCACACCACACCTTCTTCTTCTTCTTTGGCGCGAGCACAGATTCCGTGGAGACGCCCTGTAGGTTTGCCAATGCACCATCACGCGCGTCACGTGGCCAACCAAACGCAGCAATGAGCCAAACACATCAGCTCAGCGAGGACCCAGCTACCGACGCACACACACACACACACACACACACACACACACACACACACACACACACACACACACACACACACACACACACACACGGGGTTGGCGCACCTTCTCGCGCATTTCCTGGCGCAGCGCCTTGAGCTCGTCCTTCAGCGCTTGCTCCTCCAGATACTGACACGCGCGCAGGTGTCAGGGCGGGTGTGAGGGCGGTTATATGAGCACGAGTGTGGGCCCCGTGAATGTGCATGTGCATGTGAGGGAGTTGGGCAGGTGGCAGTTCGCAATCTCCCGTCCTTCCGCGCTCACACGCGACAAGCAATCGCACACGCACACACACATGTGCAAACGGCGCTGAGAGACTCTGTGTGTGTGTGTGTGTATGTGTGTGTGTGTGTGACGCTGCAATGGTAGACAGACCTGGTCGTGTGTGCGTGCGGCGAGAGTGCGCAGCTGCTCCTTTCGCGCCTCCTCGTGCTTCTTGTCATACCTGAGCGTGTGTGGCGTGTGTGGCGTGTGTGGCGTGTGTGTGTGTGTGTGTGTGTGTGTGTGTGTGTGTGTGTGTGTGTGTGTGTGTGCAGTTTTGAGTGCACGCATGTGAGACATGGAGGGCACGTGTGGACATGGGTGCATGTGGGCGTGCTTGCATGTGGACACGCACAAAGCGTTCGTGTCATCGGGAACAACGCTGCCATCACGCCTCACCACAACCAACAGTCAATCATCCGACATCGTGTTGACAGGAGGTGCGACCAACGGCACCTGTATCTGATGGCGACGGCGTCCGAGGCAATGCCGGCCTTGGCGAGCTTGCGCTTGCAGTCGTAGAAGCGGTCTTTCAGGTCCTCCACCGTGCGCAGTGGCAGCTGGCACGAGCAGAGGTGGCGGTATGGGTGAGGAAGGGTGTAGTTGTTGATCGTGATTGGCGGTGTGATTTGGTGGTTGTGATTGGGTGGTGATGGTGGAGCATGGAAGGAAAGGACAGCATTATGGAGTCGGCACACAGAGGCGTGGAAGCCAAATGGTGGGAAGATGGGGCAAGTGCACCATGACATGTTGTTTCACACACACACACACACACACACACACTTACCGGGAGTGCAATTGCGCGAACCCACTGGGAATAGCGGTCCTGCATGAGAATGAAGCTGCCGGAGAACGCCTCGTACCTGCACCACGCACACGCACACGCGTGAGAGCGCATTTGGAAGGAAGCAAGCGGTGTTGATGGCAATGAGGTGGGCAAGGTGGGTGGCTTGACGCAGTGCAAAACAGAGACAAGCACACGCCTACATAGAGAGAGACAAAGAACGCACACACGCACACACAGGTAGACAAAGCAGACACATGTGCGCGCAAGCACACACAAGTAGGCAAGTGCGTACGTACAGGTCCATGAGTTTGCGGGTTTCGAGGTATGACCAGCTGTCGTCTTGAAGATACTTTGCATACACGTCGCGTGAGATCCTGGGCGCGGTCACCTTGTACTCGTCAAAGCGCGCGAACATATACTCCTCGTTCGCACGCGCCTCCTCGCGCCAGTGGTGCAGCACAAGGCCATCCTGCTCGCGGTGATAACACGGAAGGTAGGCAAGGGCGCGTGACATGTTGAGTGTGCAAGGCGCCCAAATGGGTGTGTGAACGCTCACTCGTTGGTGTGTTAATCGCAGGCTGTTGGCAACGTGTGTACGCGTGACTGAACGCCATGCACAATGGGTTGCTCAAAGGGGGCGTGGCGCAAGGGATGCACGCACCTCACGGGCCTTGTTGGTGAACGAACACCACTTCCAGCTCTTTGCGCGTCGCATTGCCGTCTCCTTGCTGTATCCCTTGTATGTCGAAGCAGGCATCAACGGTACGCTGTGTGTGTGTGTGTGTGTGTGTGTGTGTGTTGCTGTGTGTGTGTGTGTGTGTGTGTGTGTGTTGTGTTGTGTGTGTGTGTGTGTGTGTGTGTGTGTGTGTGTTGCTGTTGTGTGTGTTGTTGTTGTTGTTTGCAAGTGCCCATGTCATGGCTCCGCGAGTAAACAATTGAGTTTAATCGAAAAGAAACACATGTGATCACGCCCAACGAAACACTACAGTGCTGCACGAGTAACAGGCAATGTACACTTCTCACAATAACATCAACCACGACCATAGCGGCTGGGTGCTCATCTGCCAT